GAAGCCTGGCAAGGAAGTGCCCGGAAGAGGTGAGCACTAGGGATGCAGGTCAGTCATTTCCTCCCTGAAGAGCAGCCCTGCTGCCGGGCACCCTTTTCCACCACCTCCATCGTGCGCGATGGCAGCACCCACCTGCTGCTCGCCCCAATCCAGCCAAAAGACAGCCCTGAGCTGGCTGCGCTCTTCAGCTCCCCAAAGGCAGCGTCGCACGCGAGGGGGCAGGACGGCCTCGCTCGGCCCCCTGCTTTTCAGCCAGGCTTTTGTGTCTAGTCTTCATTAGTGCTGGTCTTTTGGCCCAACAGGAGATCGGCTCCCACCCCTTTCTGAGGGTCTGGGTCTCCGCCAGGCCCAACAATATCCAGACTCTTTCTGAAGAGGCTCGACACGGCTGTGCTTTTCCTGAAATCCACTCGGCGCGTGCCCGGAGGGCGTTATTCGTCGTGCAGTCGGGGGGTTTCAGAGGCACCGCGCCAACTGCTGTTTGCTGTCTTTTTAGGGGAAAGCTTTGCCCTAAACTAGATGTTTCATGTACTTGCCCTGCAGCTGAGCACATGCAGAAGAAGGGTTTCTAGTTACTGATTAGAAATATATTTGAGCACCTTTTTGCCTGACATATATGGAAGTATTTATACCACAACAAACACACATTGTCGCACACGAATGAACGGTCTTCCAGGATTACGTATGACTGCTGGCTGCTCCCCTCCGCTAAGGACCTGCCCAGACCTCTGAAGGGGCCCTCTCAGAGCGGTGCATCTTACCGTGCTTCAAATTGTCCAGCCATTCGCCAGTATACTGGTCCCCATTTACAGCATAAACTGTGTGTCTTAATCCACTTTTCTGTGCTTTCCTGTCCCACTCATGCCAGAGAGGCTCTGCAGTCGTGGGGTATTTCACAAAGGGCATATTGTTCTCGGCTGCGGACAAAAACAAAGGATTGGGAGGAACAAGTGAGAAATTATCAAGGCAGGTACCAAAAGAGCAGTCTATTTATGAGCTACGTTGGACTATGCACCCAAGTTAGCAATTAACGTCCGCCTTTGGAGGGGGTACAATAAAAGTACAACAAGCAGAAGGGATCTAAAAATACTAAAGTAGGAAACAGCACTAGCTGAAAACAGGCTTGTAGCATAGAGCGTTAGGAGACGTTAAATGAGTTACAGCAGGACGTGGCTGGGGCGGGCATCGCTGTCTGTGCCTGCAAGTGGCCTTCAGCGAGCACGGGGCCAGGCAGTCCCCGCTCGGCGCGGCAAGCGCGCGTCTCGCGGACCCTCCTCCGCCTGCTCGGCGAGAGGAGGCAGCAGGAACTTAAGCACGTTAGAAAATTGTTTGCTTATTAGGAAATACGCCAGAACATCAGAAAACCTTTGTAAAATAGAGTGGGTCAGAGAGTTGGTCTGTGTCCCCGGGGTGCAGCAGGAGCTCGGACACTTTATGCATCCAGCAATAACATAGCGTAGGGTCCTTTATTGCTACAAAATAAAAAAAACCCAGTCCCATAGGTGTTTTGTTAAAAAGAGCAGAAACAGCAACAGTTCCCTCTGCTAGCAGGATGCGGGCTCCTATTCCTGCCCCTTAACGTTTTTGGGCAGTTTGTGACAGTTTGCCAAGGGACGAGAGCGGTCCGGGAAGGCTCCTCTCGCCAAGGGGGAAGGGGGTCCGCGGGGAGCCCGGTGCTGAGCCGGCCTGGTAAACACCGAGAGGGCCCCGGCGGCGTACGGCACGATGGACATCGCTGGGCATCGCCTGGCCCAACAGCTTGCTGTTTGGTGCGGTGGTAATGCCAGCGCAGCCTTAGAGGTGAGCACGACCCCCTCTAAACCGCGAATAAATGCCAAGAGGTGGAAATAAAAAGCCAGTTTCTATGAAGGCTGCTAACACCCCCGGCCTGCCAGGAGCCCTGCCGGCGGGGGATGCTCACCCGTTTTGTCTCCTGGGCTCCCCCTTCTGTCCTGATCTCTGCGGACCGAGCGGTGCCAGCGAATTCGCTGCGTCTCCGTCTCCCCTGGTGCGAGCGCTTCTGCTGGGCCGCCAGGGAGGGAGGCGCGAGGGGCCGGGGCAGAAAGGGGAACGCAGCCCCGGGGCAAGAGCAGGCAGCTCTGGGGGCAGGAGAAAGGCTGGTGCCTCTGGGCATTGCTAGGGAATCAAAGTTAGAAACTGTATCTTGGAAAATATAGTCAACATTCGTTTCTAATTCTCCAGGTGTCTATGGAAGATGCTTGTTCAAAAACTATTTGGGGGGAGTGTTGTTGCTAAAAGTCCTTCTGTGTTCCCGGTGATCCTTGCTCCCCAAAAGGCAGCTATTCTGTGTAGTGCATTGGCTCTGCTGTTCCTTACCGCTGGCGAGGGGCCGGCGAGGCGGCGGGCAGAGCGAGGAGGGCCAGCAGGCACGGGCTGGGACAGGCGAGCGGCAGGAGGCCGCCAGCGGTTCCCCCCGCGCTGCCCCGCACCGTCGGAGAAGAGCAAACAGGCCTGACCATCGCCTTGTCCTCAAAGCAGAAGTTTTTGGGATCGGGTTTTCTGCGCTTGCCGGGGATGATTTGCTTTGTGGGTCCAGGCTAGCACATCCAGGGCGGTCACTGCACTTGGATGCCCTCGACCGTGTCCGTCTCTGCCACCCACCTGGGCGCATCTTGCTTCCGACAGCGGAGGGCACGGTCTGTCATTAGGTCCTGCGGGGTCCCAGCCTGCCCTGGACGGGGCTTTCGCTGTAATGCAGACACAGCATCCATCACGGGAGCTCGGGCTGCCCTTGCGACGCCCAGAGCAAGGAGCTCCCGGTGGTGTTAGCTGGGGTCACGCGTGGTGCCAAGCACTGCAATGCCCGCTGGCGAGTGCGGCTGTCCCCGTGGTCCAGCAGCATCACTGAGGAAGGCCTGTGCTGAGCTGTTCCTGCTGCACCTAGGAACCTGTCCATCTGTCTGATGTACCTACAGCCTCTCTTGTTTTCCCCTGCTGCTCTGGGCACGTTTACAGCCTCCCGAGGAAGCGCAGCCCAGCGCAGCCGACGCACCGCCGGTTTCCCCCCCCAGCCGTGGCTGACCCCAGCCGCTCCAAGGTGTGCACATGTGCAGGTCCCTTTGCACCCTCCTGGATAAATGTGCCCCCAAACTGCAGAAACGGCTGGGGTCAGGCACGCCGGGGGGCAGCTGGCCCTGCGGCCGGGAGGCGCGCTCAGGTCTGTGCACGGGCTCTGGAAGGAGGCAGCGTGCTTTGCGGGGATCTGCTGATTTGTAGGGCAAATCTCAGGCACTGGAGCTACGGGGACGAGGGTTTCGATGACACAGAGCCGCACATTATTGGCCTCTAGCCTCGCTGGCTGGAAAAGCCAAGCAGCCAGCCGAGTTACAGCTATTGCATCAACCCAGTCCGGTGCTGTAATCTCTCACGGACACTAAAAGAGGTCTCCTCGCTAATCCCAGATTAGCAGTGTTATTGTCCCAATTCTGCAACGTGGGGACCCGAGGCAGTGAGGACTCACAGAGCCTCTGCTCCGGCCCAGCTGGATGAGACCTCCCAAACCGCCCTGTGCGTGGGGGCTCGCGGTGTCCCAGGCGCGAACCCTCAAGGCTCGCAGGTGCTGTCCCCCTTTTCTTCCCAACAGATAGCACAGGGAAATTGCACCTGACCACTTCTCTTAAATTCAAAAGTTTACATTTAAAAATTGAACAAGGATTCCCACCCCAATGTGAGGGCAGATACATTCCCCAGGCATCTGCTCAGCGTAGCCTCGGAATCGCAGCCTGCACAGTGCCCACGGGCTAACGCAGGCAGACAAGAAATAGTTTTATCTACTGAATTCAGTTCCAAATTTGTGATATCGATGTCATGTCCGCATGAGGGTTAACTTAGCCAGCGTTCACCACCACCTACGATAACACCACGTGGAGGCTGACAATAACGCAGCACGCTGGCAGCGCAGAGCTACTCCAGCTGCCATAGCCTGAGCGGTTTCACCCTTTGCAGGGGACAGCTGGAGCCAACAAAACACGGGCTGCAGCTCTCCGCACCGACGGCTAGAGGTTGCTACTCCCATTCTTGTCTCCCATCACTGCTGCAATTGTGAATGAAGATCACAGAGAGTCCTGTGTCCTCCTCTAGGTGTTACCGTATGTTCTTAAATCTGAGTTTTCTCAGATTTCGAGTAAAATGCTATCTCAGTTTGTATGGCTCTACGGGAAGCCCAGTTTTTCCTTATCTCTTTGCAGAACTTCACAGCGAGGCAATGTAGTTTTGATTTTTTGTTTTTTGTTTTAACCTTACAAGTTAACTTAATAAAGAGCAATTTGAAAAATACAACTGGCTGCAAAGAGGAACTCCCTGGCAGGGGGTCCTTACCCAGGCAGGGGAGAAAGGTACTGTCAGAGGCTATGTCCAGCTGGCGCAGCCTCCGCGCGGGCGAGCACGCTGCTCTAACGTCCCCAGCCGGGAGAGCCACCCACATAAGTTCATCCCTTGCTTTATCCCTGCACTATCAAAGTCCCCAAAAGCTGGAGGAAGTCCAGGGTGGCCCAAAAGTAGCTTTCTCAGGCAGGAAGGTAACCCTCTCCCAGTGCACGGAGAGCATCGGGCCATGTTTTGGTTCTCGATGCAAATGCTGGTCTCTCTCAGGAGATTTTTGGCCCAGTGGGGTGAGGAGCTAGTGGAAGGGCAATAATGTGCAGCCCTGCTCCGAGGAGCCGTGGCTTTGGGCCAGCAGCTGGCACAGAGGAGAGGGGCTGCCCTACTGCGCTGCACCATTGTCCTGTTGCCCTCCAGACCAGCTGAGTGATCCCGTGGTCCCCCTGGACCCTCCTTGAACCCCTGACAGCTTTGCAGAGTGAAGCTCAGGACACCATCTGTGCCCCTTCTCCAGAGAGATGAGGGCACAAGAGCAGCAAGGGGAGCAGATGATTTTAGAGCTGGAGGGGTGGAGGAGAGATGCTGGGGAAAACCTCGTGTGCTTGGGGTGCAAAGTGCCCTCGAGCCAGCCCTGCCCTGTCCTGCTGCCCCCAACCCCGATGGCTGCCCCGTGGACACCAACCTTGCTGGGGCCGGTGGCTGGCCGCAGGTTCCTGGCGATCGGAGAGCGGTGCTGGCTGGGTGCCGCGGTCTGTGTGCAGACTCAGCCGGAGTCGTCATAGCAACTCTGCCAAACTCTTCACTCTTCTTAGTGCTGCGGGCTCTGCCGGAAGGACCCGAGAGTCAGGCCACGAGCACCGGCCTCAGGGCCCCGGGGTTGGGGAGAAGAGCCTGCCTCTAACCTGCTCCCTGAGAGTTCAGCCTCGGCTCCTGCCCAGCGTTCGTGACTTGAGGAACCTGCAGGGATAAAGCAGATATAAAATGCTAATGATGCCCATGCGTCAGCCTTGGGGACAGAGGGAAATGGATTCACCTGCAAATGCCCCTGAGCTGCACTGGTATTGTCGGATTTTGTCCCTCCACAAAACAGGCTGTGTTGGTCTGTACAACAGCCACTTTTTGAAGACGAATATCCAGGCTGGGTAGCCTGTTCCAGAGCTGTAGTAAACCTCAGCCCCTCCTGGTCCTGTGCCATGACCGGCTTCTTCAACCTTGTTTTCTGGAGGAGAGACTTGTTGCATGAGGATGTGAATTACATACACGTAAAGCTACCCAACTCCTCTGTTGCACACACAATATTCCCCATAGGGAGAGAATGAGTCATGCAGGAAAGCTGAGAGCCGCATGGGGCAACACGCTGACTAAAGGCGTTCAGAAATGACTGATGATGAAGGCTGTAAGAGACTGGGAGGAACAGAACTGCTGCAGCTGGTGTGGAAAGCTGGTCTGTCCTGCTGGGTGTTTGCCTGCCATAGGACTGAAGACAACCTAAATGCTTGCGTCTAACTGTAAAACCTGCCTCATTTGACTTATTCCAAGGGTGTTTTTGTGTCTAACATCTATTATTTCAATTCCTGTTGCATGTATGAGTGTTATAGAGAGGGAGGAGACAACACTGCTTGCTGGGAAATAAGATGTTGAAGTGAAATGAGCTGGAGGGAGGGAAGAGATGCTCCGTGTCAAATGGCCAAGCTGATGTAGAAATGGTGGAGGGAGACCTGTACTGTGGAAAAGTACAGACCCTGAGATTTCTGGTGCTGGATTAGATCACCTGGGAAGACAGTACCTACCTGTGAGCAGGTTCCAGCATCACCTCTCAGGCTTCAGGGGAACGTAACACGGACAGATGGTTCTGCAATTCCCTAAATCCAGGAATTCACTGCATTATAATGACATGAAAGAATAATATAGGTGGAACTTCTCTTTTTTTAGCAGGAAAACTAGACAGGATACTGTGAAAGTTGACAAGACAAAATATTTCCTGTTATTAAAAATGAGATGAAGATGTTCAGGAAGGATTTATTCACACTAGTTCATAAAACACTTTCTGGTTTTCTGACTGAAAATGATCGTTCCTCTGTTTTATAGTTCCAATTGCATAGGGCTAGAGAGCAGGACAGGGATTTATGGGGAGGAAATGAGAGAAACTCATAAGGGAGAAGAAAAAATGCTTCTTGCATCCCAGAAATTACAGTCTTGAATTATAACAAGAAATAGCCCCTTCTGGAAAAGTATTAATTATTTGGACTATTTCAGTCTCTATATTATTTTGCAGTTCACTGAGAATTTGTCAATTAAAATAATTAACTAACTCAGACAACCTATTTCAGTTATTTATTTTTTAAAAGCACAGACTGCCTGAGGATTTTGAACTGCATGTCCAAACTATGTATCACTTACGCACAGTTTTTGCCAACCAAAAGAAATATATATAAAAGAAATGATTCAAGAAACGTCTCTATCATATTAAGATGTAGAAAACTCATAGGCATTGTATTTTGGAAACTATAATGATTTGACTTTTCCAAGCATAGACCATGTACCTGGGATGAACTGCAGTCCTGTGTGCAGCCGGTATGGGACCACATTAAACGAACACTGCTGCAGTAATCATTAACTCCCTCTATAATGGCAGTGAAAGAGAGACTGAAAGCTGCTTCGCAGCTGCCTCTGTGAGAGCCTCTATGTTTGGATATGATGGAGAGCAAGACCTCATGGTGTCCCAGTCTGTGTGTGGCTGATTTTAAATAGTTTCTGTTCCCAGTCACTGAGCGTTTGCTGTTTCACTTCCACAGTCCCAGAGAGTCGAGCTATTTGCCCTCGCGGGCCCCCCCCAGACCCTCCTGGTCCTACCAAGGAAGCTCTGTGGAGTAATTTATTTGGGAAGAGATTGTGCACATTTCCCATTGATAGTTTTCTTATTCCAAGTACATCCTAGAGGAGGACAAGGAGAAAGCAAGGCTCGTACCACCCTCATTCATACCTATTTGATGCCTTAATATGCAATATATTCAGTAAAGGAAAGAGATAAAGTGTTAAACTTTTCCATACTTATATCTGATGACTTAATTATTTTGTCATTCCTTATTATCACTCTATCCCTTTTAGTACTCCCAGGGTGCAGAGCAGCTAATGTAAGTGTGCTCTTCTCACACAAACGAAAATATTTGACCAGCTTGAAAAGAAGCTGGTAATATTTGCAACTTTATCAGAAGGCTCTTTGGACTCACTGAACTGAAATTCTGCTTTAAAATGTTATTCCCTTATGAGAGAAGTAACCTTGTTAATAAGTGAGAAGTGTGGAGAATTTTTATAAAGAGTTTCAGATATCTGGAACAGAGAGTTCAGGCTAAGTGTGAGGTATAAATCAGAACGGACCCAGAAATACCCTAATCAAATTCTCTTCCTCCCGCAAGAGCAGTTGTTTCACGGCATAGTGCTGAAGCCGTCATTAAGAGTATGGCCAAAATCCAGGTTATGATGGGCTAGAAAGAGAACTTGATGACAGAGTAAAATATTTCCTTGATGCAATTCTCCCTCCACCCCCATTCTGGCTTTCTCAGCCAGAATTTGGCCCCAAATCTCCCTTTTTGGCTTTTCTCTTTTTCCTCTCACAGATACATGTCACTGCCACAAGAGTACCAGCAAAGCTTCCTCCACTGGGGAGTGACAGGGGCTTCAGTGCTTCGGCTGTTCATACGGTTGTTGCTTCAGTTCTCTGGTATTTGATTAAACCTTACATTTATTAAGACTGAAAGAAAGCTGTTAAATCAGTCAGTTTAAATCATTTTTTAATTTAGCCCATAATACTGTCGATACAACTTGTTGTGATGGAGTTTTACCGGTCCACTTTCTCTCTGCCTCTGAATATGAGTTCCCGTTTTGATGGTAGCTGCTGTACACACCAAAGTGCACACCAAGCAATGGGAGGATGTGTGAAGAAACATGCCCCAAAATACGCCATTTGTGGAGCAAGGTTCCATGGCAAAGATGGAGTTTTACCGGTCCACTTTCTCTCTGCCTCTGAATATGAGTTCCCGTTTTGATGGTAGCTGCTGTACACACCAAAGTGCACACCAAGCAATGGGAGGATGTGTGAAGAAACATGCCCCAAAATACGCCATTTGTGGAGCAAGGTTCCATGGCAAATGATGTGCCTTAATTTTTTTTTTTTTTTTGGTTTAAGGAGTAAGATTTTTTAAAGTGAAATAAACCCAAAAGACCTCAGTGTTCTACAACGTTTGGAATCAGCCATTTTCACAGTGAAAGGAGACAGCTGCTCTGAGCTGCCTTTGCTCTCGCAGAGCTTGGGGAATCACCAAAACGAAATGCCCAAACCAACTGAAAGCTGTCAGAGTTAATAACTTAAGTTTATTCTGGGAACTTTGTAGAATAAATAGAGAAAAACATTTAGAGAAACATATGTTAGGATTCTTTGAAGGTGAAAAATGTGACAACAACATACTGTGGAAGGAGGATGCTAAGATGTGTGTTTTACTGCTGCTACGTTCAGAATAAAAGCCAGAGGAAGAGGTGGGAGGGTCTTGGACGCTAACCAAGTGTGTGTCAGGTTTAGAGCTGAATGAAGACAGAGTGGGTGCAGCGCTGAAGGAGCTTCCCACAGATCTGTTTTTAAGAATTACTATTAGGAGTATTGAGGTGGGATTGAAGTGACGGATTTGAGATACAAACTTCATTGGTTGACTTTTGCTTGAGATGGCTATGGGGGAAAGCATTTCTTCAGCTCTCTCCCATTCTTTTTGTTGTATTAGCTCTCTCAAGACAAAAAAAGAGTTATTTTTAAATCAGAATAATCTAAAATAAGAATTCTAGGTTATTTGAAATGTTCTAACACATATCCATTCAAAGTGAAGTGTTTAGCAGAGGGTCCTTCAAGCTGATGCTCACCAGATACCCTCTCCCCATTAATTTCTTTTCAAGCAGGTTTACAGCTACTTGTCTCTATTTAAATAGCTGCAACGACACTGTTCAAACGTAGGATTCTGGTGTAATCAGTGAAGTTACCCAAAGCTGTGGAATTATTTACTGCACAGCTGTAGAGTGCTTTGTAGGACCCTTGATATTGTTTTAAAACATGATCCCAGTATGAATGTGGGGACCGATAAATTTGGCCGTACTTTGAGAGTTACGCAACGTCTGTTTCGAGTCCTTAACTGAGGAATAAATCCAAGTTATAAGATGAGACCAGCAGTACCAATTTCCAGCTGAAATATGTGCTGAGTATTTTATTTTATCATGGCTTATTGCTGTTTGATGTTAGGATAAGTACTTAACTCATCCACAAATACATTTTATCCTTTCTAGTTTGCTCTGTGCTAGAAAGAATGTTTTGAGGACAGGGGAAAAGCAGCTACGGAAACAGACTACATTATCATAAGAGAAAAGAGTGAAGGGAATCTGCATTCAGAAATACTCTGCAAAGCACTGGAGAGGAGTTCACATATGATTATACATGTATTATTATAAGTACATGTATTTAAACAGAATTTAACATTAAAAGAACCGTCACATTTTTTGCTGTGACCTTTAACTTGATTTATTAACTCAGGTTCTTTGATATGTTTTCTGGCAGTGAATAGTTGATGATTTGGGGATTAATTTAAGCTGAAGGTAAAACAGAGATTTCATATTTGTAATTTACTGTACAAAGGCCTTAGGAGAGCTCTGGTAGTGAAAGCCAGCCGTTAAAAACCTAGAAGATTAGACTTG